TCGGTGGCACGGCTGTGCTCGGTGCTGCGGGTCAGGATCCTGTTGGTGCCCTGGCTCTGCCCGGTGCCGGGGGTCAGGATTACATCGGTGGTGCCGCGGCCTTGCCCGGTGCCGCGGGTCAGGATCCCGTCGGTGCCGCCCCCGCGGCCCCGCTGCCGCTCCGCCCGCTCCTTCATCCGCTGGAAGATCTTGGCCGGCGTCTCCTGCCCGGGCGGCTCCGGGGCGCGGCGCTTCGGCGGCCGCTCTGCCGCGGGCCCGGCCCGGCCGTGCGGGACATCCCGCGGGCCCGGCCCGGCCGGGACAGCGCCCTGGGCCTGCAGGAGCTCCTTCAGCGGCGTCAGCGTGCCCGCGGGGACGCTGCTCAGCGGCACCGAGCGCACCGGGGGCTCGCCCCGGGCGCGGCGGCGGCCGGAGGCGGCGATCATGGTCCGCGTCCTCCGGGTCCCCTCACGGCGATCGTGGGTCAGTCCCGGCCCCTCACGGCGATCGTGGGCCAGTCCCGCCCCCTCACCGTGGTCCCTCACGGCGATCCCGGGTCAGTCCCGTCCCCTGAGGCCGATCCCGGGATAGTCCAGTCCCCTGAGGTCGATCCCGGGTCAGTCCCGGCCCCTCACGGCGGCCCTGGGCCAGTCCCGCCCCCCCCAAAGGGGCCCCGCGCTCAGATTCGAGCGCGGCCGCGCGCGCGCGCGCGTCACGGAGCCGCGACCATCGCGCAGAGTCAGAGGGGTGTTTGGAAAGGACCCCCTGGAGGGGCGCCATTGGAACGGGCGGGGCAGGAAGGGTCCATGCCGGGGCTCCCCCCCCCCGTTCCGGCGCGGTGGTTCGACCCTGCGCTTAAGGCGGGCTCCGCGACCGTTAGAGCTGAGGGGCGGCTCCGAGGGGCGGTCCCGGCTCTGAGGGGCGGTCCGAGCTCCAGGGGGGCGGCCCGGTCGGGGCTGTCCGGCAGCGGCTGAGACGCAGGCGGTGCCCGGAGGAACCTTGCCCGTGGGCTGGAGCAGCAGCCGCGTAGGGAGGACGGAGGGCAGGCGGGAGGGGCAGCGGCTGCTCACGCCCCTCACACAGGGAGAGCCCCCAGCCCGCGGACAGCGTGTGCCGCCCGCAGGTAAATAAATAACTAACTAACAGCCACGTGTGAGCAGCAGCCCGGCTGAGCCCGGTGTAACCGCGTGTTAAATAGGGGAGTTAATCAGAGCCTGTCCTGGCTGGAAGATCCAGTAGTAAGGTCTCGTAGTTCCAAGTGGGAAACAAGGCAAGTTACTCGAATAATGCATTAAAAAATACCTAGTACTACATAAATAACACGTAATGGATTGGAATCACAGGTGCACCCAGCAGTGCTAGTGGGATCAGCTGTGGGATCAGGTGCGTTTGGCACTTGAATTAGTCCCAGTTAAGTGGGTTAGAGATTCACCTCCGGGGGAGAAATTACTTCGGTGTGTGCCTGTTGGTAACAAATAGCTGCTTTAAAAACAAAAACAAAACAACAACAAAAAACCCAACCCAAACAAACAAAAAACACAAAGAAACCCCCCCAAAATAGTTAAGTTGGGTACTTCGGGGTGCTGTTGCAACTTTTTAGAATAATTCAAGGCTTTGGGCTTCTTACAGGAGACGCAGGTGCTAATTAGCAGCCCGGTTTTCTAGAGCAGACAGGGATCCTTTCCCGGAATTCCTGCCCGGAGGAGAGCGCAGGGACACGGGTGGCAGTGTTATGGATCACAGGTAAGCACTGGGGAAAAGGGAAGGAGAACGTGGAACAGCTAAAACAGGAATGGAGAGAAAGGGCTGTGTTTAGATTTTACATGAATTGTTGCGTGTCTGATCGTGGTTTGTGATCTGCTGGCTCCATACAGCCAGCGTGGCCTCACTGGGTTCATTCCTCCCTCAAAAGCACAACCCCCCCCATTCAACCCGTAATTTCCTCCTTACCTCTAGCAATAACTTAGTGCTCCCATAGTTTCTTGAGTTCTTATCAGCTCAGCTTCTGCCTAAATCAGCAAAAGCAAAGGAAATTTGTTTTGCTCCAGTTATTTGCAGCAGCCACCGTAGTGCTTCCTTTCAGGAGCAAAAATGGATCCACAGAAAGTCAAGGGAGTGATAATTCTTTTTTTTTCTGGTAACAAAGCATGTGTGTGAGATTTCTGGGTGTAATTTAGGTAGTTGTAGAATTCTCACTATAAATTTTTTTAGCATGACTAAGCAAGTCCCCTCTTGTCTGTACTACCTGATGCCAGTGGGGCTTCCTGCATAGAATTCCAGAATGGTTTGGATTGGAAGGGACATTAAAGCTCATTTCATTCCACCCCCTGTCATGGGCAGGGACACCTTCCACCAGCCCAGGTTGCTCCAACCTGGCCTTGGACACTTCCAGGGATCCAGGGGCAGCCACAGCTTCTCTGGGCAACCTGGGCCAGGGCCTCTCCACCCTCCCAGCCAGGAATTCCTTCCCAATATCCCATCTAAAATTATTCTCTGTCAGAAAAACTGTTGGGTTTGGTTGTTTTTTTTCCCAGAAATAACATTTCTTGTATAATTTTTAAGCTTTTTTGCTGTTTTGTTGTTCCATAAAGGAAGAGATCAGGTGAATTATATATAGAGAAAAAAGGCTAATCCAGACTAAGCAGAGAAAGCTGTTGAGGAAACAAGAATTAATGTGATTTTTGTTGAGTGTGTGGCTGGAGCAGCAGCTGTGTGTGCCCAGCAGAGCTGGTTCTGGGGAGAGCAGCTGCACCTGGAGACAATTAGATAATCAATAAAGTGCAAATTTGGTTCCAGGTCACACCTCCAAGTGTTTGTCAGCCTTCCCAGCTCCTCGTGCTGTGGGTTTAAAAGGAAACCCATTGTATTTTATTAGGGATGTATCCATGTTAATCTCAGGAATTGCCAGAAAGGACCTGAAACTGGGCGTCCTGATGGTTCTGTTTGGGGAAACTGCTGATGCCAATCAAAATCTCCCTGGAAAAATGGGATTCATAATGGGACAGATCGTGGTTGCATTACAAAGGGTTTTCCAAGGTCCTCTGTCACACTTCCTCCCTCTTCAGTTCCCAGTGGAGATGCACCCCACAATCCGTGCTGCTGGAGTTTCCTGACCTGGCTGGTGTGAGTTATTTGGGCAGCAGCTGCAGAAATACAAGCCAAAAAGTCTGGGTAAAGCATGTAAAACCCAGTAACCTCAGTCAGGTCACTACAAATGGGTGGGAAAACTGAAAAAAACCCCCACCAAACCAGCACTTGCATGCTGTTTGGCTGAGGGGTCCGTGCTTTTCCATGTTTTTTCATGGAATATTTAAGGTTTTTTTCCTTTTTTGGGGAGGCCCTTTTGACAGGTCCTGCCCATGAAGCAATCCTATAAATTATATATACATATAATAAGTATAGGCGCATAAGAATAAATGTCTGGAGTTTGCCCTTCTTTCAGATTTTTGAGATCTTAAATCCATTAATTGTATGGCTGGAAAAAAACACCCCTAATGCTTCTTTTGTTTGGGGTTGGTGGAAGAAAACCATATTTCATATATTTATACATATACAGGTCTGTACAGGCTCGTTTATTATTGGCTTTAAAATGCAGAATAGTCTTTGTAAACCTGTTTAAACCTTCCCTGGTGCAAATTGCTGATGCCAGTTTGGGCTCTGGTCTCACTCTTTCTGATGTGACTGAGGGATGGTTTTGGTTACAGAGGTCATAATGCACATTTTTTGCCAAACAAGCTGGGCGACTTTCTCCAAACAGAAAGAGCTGATGCCTAAATGAGGTTTGATCTGTGACTTCCGATGTACCTTTGGGATCTCCCATAGCTGGGAGGACAACCCTTGTTACCCTTTGAGAGGTTGGATATTGTTTGTTTGGGAAAACGTTGGATTTATGAGCAGGTACAATAATTTTTATACCATTTCTTAATATTTGCTGCAGGTCCCTGGGCTGGGGGAGGGCTCTGCAGGCTGTGCTTTCAGCAGTGGGGACGTGGGATTTATTGCTTGGGGTGTGAGTTTTGCTCTCAGTGTATCAGCAGTGAATCCATTTGCATTCATCCTGCCCCTGCTTATTTAGTAATTTTGCTGGGAATGCAAATGTCTTTGTGCAACTAATTTGTTTTGCTGTGCAAGGTTTGCCCTTTACTTGAACTTTATTCATGACTGGAGAGATATTCTATGGAATAATGGACTGGCAGCTGGGATGCCATGGCCTGTGTTAACCTCGGAGGTCATCGAGTCCAGCCAGCAACCAGCCCCACGTTCACCACTGAGCTGTGTCCTCGAGCGTCACATCCACAGGTTTTTTGGGCACTTCCTGGCCCAGGTTGCCCAGAGAAGCTGTGGCAGCCCCTGGATCCCTGGAAGTGTCCAAGGCCAGGTTGGAGCAACCTGGGCTAGTGGAAGGTGTCCCTGCCCATGGCAGGGGTGGCACTGGATGGGCTTTAAGTCCCTTCCCACCCAACCCATCCCGGGACTCTCAGCCCCGTGCCCGGGTCGCGCACTTGTCCTGCTGCCGCTTGTGGTACCTGCGCTGCCGGGGGCTCCTCACTGAGAGGGCGTTTCCTGCTGCATCCCGGTGGGAAGGGCTGGCTCACGAGCGTTCCGGGGGTGCTGGGGAAGGAGGAGCCCCGTGTTCCGTGCGGGCTGTGCGATGTGGAGCAGAGCGCTGGTCTCCACGAGATGGCAGGAGCTCCCTTCTCCCTTCCCGGTCTCAGGAGCGGGCGCTGGCCAGCACAGGCTCTTCCTGAAGCGCTCGTGTGACAGCATCGTTATCCACGGCGCTCGCGGCTCCAGCGCTTCGCTGTGCCCCAGCTGCGGCTCTCCCAACGCGGGCGAGGCTGCGGGAAAAACGAGCCGCGTGGAGCCCAGCTGAGCCCAGCATTCCCTGCCTTTGGAAAGCTGAGCCCCCTGCACACACGCGGTGCAGCGCCGCTGCTCCCGCTCTCACGGGTCCCCAGACGGGAGAGAAGCGTTCTGGCCACACTGCCGGAATTTTGGTGCCGTGTGGGCCACAGAAGTGCCTTTCCCAGGGACAGGACCCAGGGAACAGCTGGAGCTGTGCCAGGGCAGGGTCAGGTTGGATCTCAGGACAAGGTTCTTCCCCCAGAGGGTGGTTGGCACTGAACAGGCTCCCCAGGGCAGTGGGCACGGCCCCAAGGCTGCCAGAGCTCCAGGAGGGTTTGGACAACGCTCTGAGGGACAGGAGGGGATTGTTGGGGTGTCCTGGGCAGGGCCAGGAGCTGGACTGGATGGTCCTTGGGGTCCTTTCCAGTTCAGGATATTCCATAATTCTATGAATGATTTTTGATCTGATTAAGAAACCAGCCACAGCTCTTAGGGAGTTGTTCCAGTGAGTGTCACCTCAATGCTAAAATTGCCTTACCTCCTACCTGGAATGGCTTTGCTCCCTTCCTCAGCTGGTATGAAGACCAGTATCCCTTAGGAACATCGAGGATTCCTGAATACCTGCTTTCAGTCCTATCCCACTGCTGCCATAAGCTCATTTTTAAACTACTTTCTTATCTTTCCTGTTGCCATATTGTTGCTGTTGGATTGCATTCCTTACTATTTCCTCTAGTGCTTGGCTGCTGCCTTCTTGTTTCAGTGTCAGTGTGTTCCTGGCTAATTCCTGCCCCTGGATCTCATGCTGGCCCTGCCCTTTCCCCCACTGCTTGTGTCCCTGGTGTGTCCCTGGAGGGCAGTGACACCCGTCCCAGCTGGAAGCACTGAGCCCTGCCACTGCTGCTGCTTCTGCACCAGTTTGTCTTGGAATTTGGGCTCTGAAGCTTTGCTTGCACAGGGGCAGGAGGAATTTCATATCCTCACGGGGAGCACTTTTCCCTGCACGCCCTCAGATGCTTGAATGAGAATTTCCAGCTTGGTTATTAATTACAATTCTGGCACAGGATGTTTCTGTAGGGCGTCGAGGTCTAGTTTTTATTAAATCCAATCAGTTTTGCAACGTCCTGGTAATTAATCTGCCACCCAAACCCCAGCCCTCCCAGCCTGCCTCGTGTTGCCTGTCTGGTTTGGGACATTAAACGTTCTGGAGCTCACAAAAATGGCTTTAAAGTTTCCTGAAAGTTATCTGTGATTAGTTGAGGCTGGGGTTGGTTCATAATCTTATTTAAACAGTCATTGTTGACTGGGAAATATCTTGTTGCTACCATCAAAAATGAAGATCCCACTCTGCATCTTCACAAGCACAAAGGATGGATATTTTATGCATTCTCTAATACTAAAAGTTACTGTATTCCTTCCCAATAACAGATCCAAGCTATCAAAATAATTTCCCCATTGTTATTCTTTTACAACATCCTTGTTGTCCTTTACCTCCTTGGGAAGGATTTATTTTTACTTGTCTCTGTCACTTTTCTTACATTTTGAGTGTATTTCATAAGTGATCCCTTTGAGTAACCTCCACTGATTGCAAGGCAGCATGTCTGATTTTTATTTGGGAGACAGATCTATTATTCCTGTTTTTAGGAAACAGCACACTGGGAGTGTGGAGTGTCCTGGGTTTGGCTGGGATACAGTTCATTTTCCTCCCAGGAGCTGGTGCAGGGCTGTGGTTTGGGTTCAGGATGAGGATAAACCACAACACAGAGTCGTTTCCCTGGGACGTGAAGTGGCTTCCCAGTGTCATAACCTGTCCCAGGATTTGGCAAGAAGTTATGCAGGAGTAACAAAGCAGTTTAAAAAGTCTCGTGGCTCATAATTGGGGCTGAGTTACAGAAACTGAG